TCCTGTTGTGTTGAGCCTATCCATTTCTTCATTTAGTCCAAGCTTGAGGTCGAGTCCAAGAATAAGTGTGCAATCAAGGTGTTCAGAGAGTGCACTAAAAATCCGTGGAAGAATGAGGGTTCATCAACATTTGGACCATATATACTTACAATACATAGCTTTTTGTTAAATATTGATAATTTAATAATAAGGAATCAACCCCCTGGATCTATAACTGTATCGAGTACTGTAAAATTAACATTTTTATCTATTAAAATTGCTACTCCCCTTTGTCTAGAATTATAACAAGCTGCAAACACATTAGGAAACTCAGGTGTTTTAAGTTCGTTTAAACCTATGACAGGCCTGTGAGTTTCTTGTAATAAAACAACATCTGCCTGTAGTTTTTTAAGCTGGTTAAATATCTTTAACCTTTTTTCTCTGGTGCCAGCTCCATTTACATTCCATGTGACAAACCTTAGTGTGCCCATAATTGTGTGTGTATGTCTAATGATGTACGCTGGGTGTTTCATTTAGACGGGTGAAGAGAATGTGGAAACATCACTTGTTTGTAAATAGAAAGAGAAAAAAATGTGTGGTGAGAGGCTCCATAAGTCTGACTATGTGTGTGTATATTCACTAATATGAACAAGCGAGGCTTGCGTGTGTGTCCTATAAGTCTGTGTGCGCTGTGAGGCTGTTGTAAATGTGCTGCCGTTGAGCGCATGTGTTTGCGTGATCGTGGTGTGTGAATATGCAGAAATAGAGGGTGTTGTTTGTAGGTGAGTGGGGAAGTAGGTGATCACAGCAGTGAAAGAAAAGAAAAAGAAAAAAAAACACGAGAACGGTGAGCAACAACAAAAAAAAAAAAAAAAGAAAAGAAACGGAAACATTCCAATTAAAGCAAACAAATTTAAAGTACTGGAGTGAGATCAACCCCACAGTATGTACAGCATTGAGGGGAAAAAACTGAACTTAACATGTCTTGTTAATCAGGTAACAAATAGAACTGAATACTGGAACGTTAAATAGACGGCCAAGATGACACTGAATTACAAAAGTCAAAGTAAGATGATGCACGGGAACGTTTTTTCATTGAACAGATACTGATTTGCATATCAGAGGTGTCTAATGAGGAAATCATGGTCCAAAAGTGGTAGCGTGTTTGCTTCTGACTGCTTATCTACCTTTAGACAGTATCTGTTGTCAAAGGGAGCAGTTTCAAAAATGCGTGGTACAACTGGTCTGTGGGTACTCTTCCTTGTGCTGCTGCTGGTCAATCAGCCAGCGGCAGATAAGACAGAAATTACAACGTACAAACTTAGATGAAACTCAGTGTTAAAAAAAAGGAAAAAGGGCCAACGGAAACAAAACCCGGAATTTTCAAAACGGAAAATGGTTAAGCCTTAAAGGGTTTTTTTCATATTTATCTCATCTTAACAGGTTTGACATTCAAAAACATTTAAATTAACTACGAGAAACTGTTTTAACTGGTACTTTTAAAGTATTGTAATATTATACTGGTCTTTCCTCACCACATATCAAAAGGATCTTCTCATTCTAATGACATTTCATACAAAATTACTTTCCTGCCAAGCACATCTGGACAAAATGAAAAGGAAACTGACAAAAGATAATGTTTCTGCGACATCTGCAATTATTTATACATTCATTTGTTCTTACAGATGAACATCATCAGTGTACTGTTCCATAACAATCTGATAACAGCGAGTATCCCACCAAACAGATGGATATTCCTGTTGGGGTCAGGTGCATCCAACCAAGACTGATTCTGCATTAACAACAATCAAAGAAATGTCCAGAAGGAAGTCAAACCAACCGCAGGTGCTTTAATGGCAGAGTGTTGGAAGAAGCTTAGATGAGAAAGAGAGGAAGGATAGGCAGAGAAAATGAGAGAGACGGGGCTGGATGGGGGTCAGTGAAATGAAGTTGTTTTCCATCTGCCTGGATATCACATAACAATGAAGGCAACAGGTACAACATCAAGTAAACTAGCACATGTGTCTACAGTAGACAAATAGAAGTATATTTTGGCACTGTAAAATACTTTTAAAGGTGAAAACCAAATGAAATGAAAATGTGCACATGAAAAGTATGCAAAAAATTTGATAACTGGCTTTATTAGACAGGCAGACCTCTCCAAGAGGAACACATTCAGTGCCTTATATAGCTTTAAGTTCCAATTAACAATGAATACCACCTTAAAGCAGAGAAACAACATGCTAAAATGACTCTATATACACAGATTATTTGCTCGTGTTGCATTCAGTCATCCTGAAATAACAGACTTTCGCAAAATTGACTAATGTCTACAGAACACAGAAGGACTCATTACTGTAAAATTATGGCAGCAAGACTTTCCTAATTCTAAAGGCTCCTTCCTTCAAACTTTCTAGACTAAACATTTGCTTAAAAGGTGTCCAACTCTCTAATAAGACTGTCAAAAGCATGAACTGCGCAATTTTAAATCACTTTTTGATTAGTACTGAGACCTTCACAATGTCATTGTGTAACAAAACCTAACATTGGTCAACTGTTATATCATCTCTAAGCCCTACCCTGCCACACACAAACACAAAGCTCTATTTCAGCTGAATCATTCTCTTGTGGAAAGAATCATAGTGTGCACCATAATGACAGCAGGTTATATAAGCTAATTAACATCTGCTTTGCTTTTTGAGCTCTGTGATGATCAACATATTTCTATCCATCTTGTGATTTTTTTCCCCTAAGTATGCTCTATCAAAGTGGGCGGCTATTATGGCGCTGAGGCTTTGCTTCAATGGTGTAGCAACACCTCTGGCTTGTCCTGGGTGACTGTTCATGTGTTTTCTCGTAAAACGTCTTTAGTCAACTCAGAGGTATCAAATGAGAGACTTAATGTCAGGTCTCATTAGGAATATGGCTTCCTATGTACGTATGTGACCCAAGATAAAAAAAAAACCACACTGATAACATACCATTCTCCCAGAGCCTCTAAGCAGCGCATTCGCCCCAGGATGAGCTCTGGATCCTCTTTGTTCATGTCGATCTTCTTGTCATATGCTACCAAGGCATCTTCCCACTCATGTAGCTTCTCATACCAGGTGGCTTGGATTTCCTAAAAGATGAAAAAATACAGTAGGATAGCGATTACAGAAGACATCTCAAACTATAACACTGTATCATAATATTTTTGGGTTATGTGCGTTTTTTCGTGACCATTGGACAATGTAATAAAGAGTTTTGGAAGAGCAATCCTTTTTCCAGCTACAGTACCTTACTGTGCTGTATGGCTGACATTTTCTACTTCAACAAGCAATCCTGGACCTGTTACATCTACCAATGACTTCCAGGACTTCTTTAGGGAGCCATGCATGAATGATTAAGCACACACTTCACTGTGGAGGGCTCCTGAAGTGTATACTAATCAGGAAAACATTGCATTCTCCCACGGTAAAGCCTTCCACATGGTCAGAACATTAACAAAGGTCCAGAGTGAAACTCTTCTCACTGAGTCTTTACCAAGTTTTCACAGAGAAACAGAAAATCTGCTCTCTAAGGCAAAGAAAAGTCATTTTATATACAAATCAGGGAGGGCTGGTATCTAGTGAGTGGTAGTGTGTTGATTAGTTATAAAATCAGGTGTGAATTCTTACAGGAGAGAAGACAGAGAAGCTGGGAGAAAGCGCAGTGAGAGGAAACGCACTCAGTGATCTCAAGTCAGAGTCTATCCCTAACCTCTGCATTAGCCTATGGTTCACCTGCTTAACTCACTGAGCTATACCGGCTGCCATTGTAATTTTAAATTTATACCAATATACATTGAAGTGACAGTTGTATGAATATAGGCTTAAAGCCCAGACTCTAAGCTTTGGTTTGAGGGCTTAAACAAAAATAATGCATTAATGACTGAGCAATAGCAATACTTATATATAGATCGACTTTGATCAGTCTTGTCTTCATGTCCAAGTTAGTTTATTTTAGCGTAATTAATTATTGAAGTTTCTATTGTTTTCTCTTGGTGTGGAGATACTCATTCCCATTTATGATTTAGGATGCTGCAAATATCCAATGAACTCAAAGGAAATATGATTTTGGGGACAGCGGATGCCAAGAAACTAATGTCAAATTACTCTAATAGGGGGGGAAAAGGCTTATTATAAATTTTTGGTTATTTTGGAGACAGTTTCAGACTCTGTCCATGTTCACAACTGTTGCAATTAGTATAAATGAATGAGTAAATCATATCCCTCCAAAAAAATAAATAAATAAATCCAAAATAAAAACAGAATAACACCAGTCTACTCAACTGATTGTCAATGTACCTCAAGTGCCTGTCTGGCACATTCATTCGAGGAAAAAGGAAAAACCACAGTTAGTTAATGACGTAACTTTGGTAAAAGGGAGGGAGACCGATCCAAATAACCAAATGCTCTTTTCCTGTTATGTAACTTGTGTGGAAAATCAGTGTAATCATAGCCAAAGCATGTCCACTCTGACAGTTATTTCATATATGGATCGAGTCCATGTACGGAGAACATAAAAAAACAGAGTTTCTAGTAACATTTAGGAGGTGTGGTGCTCAATGTGAACAGAAAAAAATCTGAAAAACAAAACCAATATTTTTCTACAATGGTAGAGTGAAAACAAAAGAATACAAAGCAGTTCATTTAACTTTTATAATGACTCATCCCACACAGAAAAAGCTCGTCATTAAGAGAGAAATATTGCTCCTTTTTTGTTTAGATGAAAAATGACATTATTTTGCATCATAAAAAGGGCCCAGTGGGCCCAAGAGTCATGTACACCAGACAGACAAAGCAAGTAAAAATTTAAGAACATGCAAACCTCATCTTAATTAGACAAATGAGTCCATAATTCTGCCTCTTGCTGTAAACCCCTGATAAGTGTAGCAGATGGCTTTTCCATATGCAGCACATTAAGATCATGGTGTTCTGTGGATATCTGCCTCAAACAACCATCACCCCCACATTAAAATAAGGAAAGGAAGACGTGCAGACAGAATTCCTAATACAATGTAACTCACTAAAGACATATTCAGTCCAAAACTGCTTGAAGAAATAAAAGGGTCTGAGTGTATGAGTATGGTCTAATTGATTATCCAAGAATTCTTTAGACTTACCAGATGTAAAGAAAGCAGTGGAGTTTATAGCAAATCAAGGCATGGGTTTACATCTCTTATTATCGGAAAACCTGGGACACGTTTTCCTTCTTTTTTTCTTTTTTTTCTGGTTGGAAAATGGAAAAAGTACTCACCAGCTCACCAAAATGTTTCATGGCATATTCCAGAACCCCAGATGCTGCTTCTGGCTGCTGCAGCTTATTGTTGATGCTGAAAGAAATGACAAAACAATGTCAAACTGTTAGGCCAATCTGAACACAAAACAGGGGCTTTCAGAGCTTTACTGTTAAGCATGAGGACAACGTGTAGATGCAAGTATTATCTAAAAAGAAAGACAAGGCAAAGGGACACCGATGGAAAATATGACATGGAAGTATAAATCCCAATCACAGGAAGTGCCAGCAAAGACTTCTATGCTGCTTAATGAAGCTAATCAACACACTACCTCTCACTAAATCCCAGCTATCCTTAACACTGCTTCATCCATGATCCTAGAAGAAAAGCAGCTCACACAATGATGAGGCATTCTTATCCCAGCCAGCCATCAATGCATCCTTTCTCAATGCATTTTGGAAATGTTAAATAAATGTTTGATACTTTAATCAAAGTTGTTTATTGGGAAAACTAAAGGTACCTATTGACATGTGTCATGCTTGTTTGACAAAGGATGATTTCCTGTCAAGACGTCACAATTCCCGTTTGTACGCCCACCGCTGACCCGCACTGCCATCACATCTGGAAACACTCATATGAACCACGAGTCTATTATACTTCCTCAACTGTGAAACCTGTGTGCAGTCACAGCCAATACATCTGTAAAATGTAGCTTTCAAAAAGTGCTGGTATGCAGCGAAATTCCTGAGGACAGCAAGCAAAAGCTGATGACAGGCATTAGAGCATGCATGTCAGAAATCTGCTTAGACAAAGGGTAAAGGCCAGAAACTGTGATGAAACCGCACTGCGAGGGGTCATGCTAAAGCTTGAAAGGACCCGTTAGTGCAGACCTGTGTGATGATGGGTACAATTTTTAAATAAATAAATGTAGTAATCTGTTGCAGAAAATTACATTGATTGGATTTTAATGCACAACATTAATAAAACATTTAACTAAAAATGTTCATAAACATACCATAAGCATTGCATTATTAGATAATGAAGACCTGGCATTTATATGAAACATGTACAACAAGAACTGTAGTTTTAGCAAGTACTTGTCCTGTGTGATTCCAATTTATATTTTTTTTCCTGACACTTGCAGCTGGGTTTGCAGTGAAACAGTGAAGGTCTCCCTTAGCATTAGTGCCTGCGCAGCAGTGATGAAGGCTGAGAGGTAACAGTTCTCTTTTATATAGCAAGCCTGCATTTGTAGGTTGAAGAACTGCCACAAGACTAAAGCACGAGTTTGTCAGTCATGAGACTGCTGTTTATGTCACTTCTAGGAGCTTTGTACGCTATTCACTTTGACTTTAAGGTACCAAAAAAAACACTTGGACAACCCTGCACAATGAAAAATTATGCCTATCCTGTACATTTAAATGCATCACCAAGGGCATCTTCACAAGTGTCCATATTTCAAGGAATCAAGACCACAGGATAATTTATCCATATTTGTGACAAGCCAGGAACTTTGAGCAAACATCAGTTAAATCCCCCAGTAAATGAGAACAGGCTGGATTTAGAGAGGTAGGTCTATCACGAATCAAACCAAGCAATCCCATCGATCTTGCAGAACGGTGATTATTGTTCTTTGACAGACATTAGTATTTTGGTGGTGTAATCAGATGACACAGGGAAGAAGAATTAATGACCTCAAGAAAATCCCATTAGACTATGATTGCATAATATGAAAATAAGCTTCTTTTAAGTAAATAACCGTTTGTCTGTGACTCTCACGGAGCTTGATAGGGTGCCAGGCACTGTTGCAGTATCCCACACTCTTAATTAGGCACAACTACCACCCAGTATTCTGAAGAATCCTGACATTATCACACAGGTATGTTGTATATACTTGTTGATTTTAAACCAAACCAAAAAATTACTTCTGTTGTTTGTAATTTACTCTCAAACTCAAAATGAACAAAAAAACCCCCTCAAGTCTCCATGTCCTACCTAACAGAAACAGATATGTTAAAACTGGCCAGATGTGCCTTTATCTGGGATGGCAAATCAGAAGGAGGGCTTTCACTCCTGCAGACCCTGGAGATTTCACTGTCCCTCAGTTAAAGCCATATGGCTACCAGCTCCAAGCACATGCAGTCTAAATACATCCAGATGACAATGCTCACATAACATTCCTCTCAAGTAAAAAAAAAAAACTTATTAGCAAGCAGAAAATGTACTGATATCACTGTCAAACCCTCTCATGTGTGCAGGGCCCCAAGTACCACTTCCTAACGTTTTACACATTGCACCTTTGGTATATGGAGAGGTCACCAAAAAGTGCATGTGCTGAGGTTTGAGACTGTAAAGCTGTCAATATATTACATCTCACCAAGAAATTTTACCAATCTGGTGTGTAAAAATGAACAAGAAAGAAAGCTGATTGAAACTGTTGTTGTGTTGCTCTTCCACAAAAATGTACAAAGACATGTAAAACTAAGAATATACCCCTACATCAAAGCCAAAAAGAGGTGCAAGTAATGAAAAAGATATTTTAAAAGAATCAAAGGATTATCATACAATCACTAAACACCAAGTAGTCCCATCTTAAATCACATGAAATACAGTTTTATTTTTGTCCAATCACAGATTCACTCATTTATGTTGGTACAATAACAAACATGTAAAAACGGTGGAGCCTGGCAGTTTGCAAGATGATAATTATTCTCTTCTTTCATATATCAGGACTGAAGAAAAACAGTACCAACAGTTCTGCCGTTACGCCCACATGATGATTAGGAATTTTCAAAGCCACTTGACTGTAAACAACAGAGCACTGTACCACCGCTAGAAATCTGGATAGCTAATATTAAAAATAAAGTGTCTCATGGTTTGGCTGATATGCTGACCAGATCTTTTCTTGGAGTTTATTTAATAAGTTAATCCAGTTATTAAAAACAATCTTTCTGATTATTAAAACTGTCCAATTATTATTGAGCCTACAGTGGCTTGCAAAAGTATTCGGCCCCCTTGAACTTTCCCACATTTTTTTCACATTACAGCCACAAACATGAATCAATTTTATTGGAATTCCACGTGAAAGACCAATACAAAGTGGTGCACACATGAGAAGTGGAACAAAAATCATACATGATTCCAAACATTTTTTACAAATAAATAACTGAAAAGTGGGGTGTGCGTAATTATTCAGCTCCCTGAGTCAATACTTTGTAGAACCACCTTTTGCTGCAGTTACAGCTGCCAGTCTATTAGGGTATGTCTCTACCAGCTTTGCACATCTAGATTTAGATCTGGACTTTGACTGGGCCATTCTAACACATGGATATGTTTTATTTTAAACCATTCAATTGTTGCCCTGGCTTTATGTTTAGGGTCGTTGTCCTGCTGGAAGGTGAACCGCTGCCCCAGTCTCAAGTCTTTTGCAGACTCCAAGAGGTTTTCTTCCAAGGCTGCCCTGTATTTGGCTCCATCCATCTTCCCATCAACTCTGACCAGCTTCCCTGTAGCTTCCCTTTTAGTATTCAAATTGTATCAATTTAAAAGTCCTAGGTGACTTCCTTCTCGAGTTATCGCATTCACAAAGCTGGCCTGTTCAGGCTGCCACCCACCCAGCAGGGTGACGACAATATCCTATCAGCCTTTTTGGCTGAGGGGTAACAAAAAAAAACAAAAAATTAAACTCTAAAGTGGCCTGGCTTTTTAGTGATGAGAGAGAGAGCACGATCCTTGAATAAATTGTAGACATTTTCCTCCTCAGAGGTTAATTTGTATCAAACCTCGCGGAGGAAAAGAAATCAGACTTTATTACTGGATTCAATCAAATCTAATTAGGAAGCTATCCATTTGAGCCTTCCTGATTTTCATCCCTTTACTTGCCAGGTGCTCGATCTAATTCCTTTGTCTAAAAACACTGAAAACAAAGAGGACATTATTATGTAGTATTTGATTTAAAAATACTTTGTCATTTACTTCTCTATTTAAAAAGTCTAACACATTCAGAACATTCAGCTTGGCTTGTTCGTTTGCTCATTTTCATTTTGACTACCACGTCTTCAAACAAGGGTCTTTGTCAAGAGAATGACAATTAAATAGGCCATTAAAGAGGACATAGAATTAGACCACCAACCAGTTTTGGTTGGGTTTAAAATGTTGAAGCGTATTACATATTTGAATCCTTCATGTGACTGATGCTAGCCAAACCAACAACTGCTACCACGACATGCACTGATGGAAAATGATACTGACTGACAGAGACTTTGTCTTGCCTTTGCGTCCAAACAACTGTTCATTTGTGGGGCAGCCAAAATGCAATCAATGCTCCCTGAAAGAAAGACCCTAACTATCGAGCATTATTGGTTGTGTTTTGGGGGGTTTCTCCATTGTGCAGATGAGAACACTACTTAAAAAATAAACATTTACCATACAAAGGACATTTGAAAAATTAAATGGATATAAACAACCAAGATGAGCTAATTTCCTAAAAAGAAATGTGTCAGACAGTAGGCAATGCTGCGTAAAGCCTAAACTGAAAACAGGAAACAAAAGTAATTTCTGTATTAAGATGTACTAAGAAAGAAAAATATGAATATAAAGCACTTGCAAATGGCACAGTAGTTAACACTTGAAACCATAAAAGTTTGGAATTCAAGCAACACCTACAATGTTTATTGTCAGATCAAATACCTGCCCTTTATAAAAGTAGAATATTTAACAGGGCCATCCTAATAGTAGAAAATACTATTAACATGGCCAAATTTTGGACCATGAACTAATTTGTTTGTTTTGTCTTTCTACAAACCAACAGTCCCATTCACAGACCAGCCACAGGAAAACATGAAATGATTGACACTGAAAGCTATTTTTACAACTCTATATTTTTTATAGCAACATGATTGAATGTCAGACAAAAAACTAACATTGTACTACTGAATCTTGACATCAGATGTTGACAAAGACAAGGGAAGAGAGTTTGTCTGAATAGCCACTTAGAAAAAGAACGACCCGTTACAAATGAAATATTCAAATAAACAGCGGGGAGGGAAAAAAGGGATTTGAAGGATGGCGTAGACCTCATTAGTCTGACTTTAAAG